GCACTAGTTAGGCCTCAGCTGGAGTACTGTGTCCAGTTCTGGGCGCCACATTTCAAGAAAGATGTGGAGAAATTGGAAAGGGTACAGAGAAGAGCGACAAGAATGATTAAAGGTTTAGAGAACATGACCTATGAAGCCAGGCTTCGTGAACTGGGCTTGTTTAGTTTGGAAAAACGAAGATTAAGGGGGGACATGATAGTGGTTTTCAAATATCTAAAAGGGTGTCACAAGGAGGAAGGAGAAAATTTGTTTCTCTTGGTTTCTGAGGACAGGACAAGGAGTAATGGGCTTAAAGTGCAGCAGGGGAGGTTTAGATTGGACATTAGGAAAAAATTCCTAACTGTCAGGGTGGTCAAATATTGGAATAAATTGCCAAGGGAGGTGGTGGAATCTCCCTCTCTGGAGATATTTAAGAACAGGTTAGATAGACATCTGTCAGGGATGGTGTAGACGGAGCTTGGTCCTGCTTTGAGGGCGGGGGTCTGGACTCGATGACCTCTCGAGGTCCCTTCCAGTCCTATGATTCTATGATTCTATGATTATTGTCTAACAGCACTACCAACACTTCCACTGATTACTGGGTTCTTAGGCTAGGTCTACACTATCAGGTTTTATCGGAAGAAGCAATTTGCGTAGCTTTTTCTGATTGTTTTTCTGGAAGAGGTTTTTCTGCCATTTGGCCCCAACCAGATGGCATTTAGAAGACATTTAGGGGTAAATTAGAGCTAAGTAATACCACAGAACACTGAGAGCCAGGACTGGTGGCTGTAAACAAACTTTATGGGACCACAGAAAACTTGGCCACACCCATGATAAATGGACATCTGGCTAATTAAAATCATGCTGGAACATGGATGTTGCTGGACTCCAGAGTACTAGAATAGAGAGGTTCAACCTGTAACACATCAGTGTAGGAAAGTGGGATACCAAAGCTGGGAAGCACTTCAATGAGTGAAAAATGCTCTAGAGACTGAAAAGAAAGATGAATATAAAATGTTAACATAGAAATATATTACATTCCTACAATTATCCTGTAATATATGATATTTAGACCATGTATATAATAATCATATGTTCATAGAAATCCCATTACAAACATGGGAGGCAGAATCAGCCAGACTAGTGTTGTCCTTTGCTCACGACATACGTAGAAAAGCATAAGGATTTTAATCTTTATATATTAGGAAATTTTGAGCCTGGGACAGATGATGCTTTCACATGAGTTTAACTAGGTATTAGGTCATGAATTGTATGAAAGACAAAGCAGTGGAAGGTCATTTCCCTTATAGAATGTAGATCAAAGGGAGACCTGAGGCCTTGTTCAGAGGTGATGCAAGAAAGTGTAAGCTGTATGTGGGCGTGAGAGACTCTAGGCTGCTGTACCTTATGTCTGAAAAGTCTGAGAAGGTATCAATTATATTAACTTAGACTCACTTAGGCATCTGTGAATTTAGCCTTGCTAGGTTTTAATGGAGCTCTGTTTAGTGTATAGGAGTCATTACTTCCAGTCTGTTTGGAAGGAAAGCCATGTTTCAAGTGAGACAGGAAAATGATATAGGCAGACCCTTTGAACAGAAAAATTGGGGAAATTTGGAGAAAAAGGGGAAAATGGTTCATAGGTTTTGCAATTAATGAAAGCCATGTGACCCTCTTTTACACTGCTGTTGCAGCAGTGATGACACTGGGTTCTCCATGATTTCCAATGGCTGCTCATGTGTTCTCAGGTAGCATTTCAGATGAGGGTTTTGCCTGCTAAAGCTTTAACTGGCTTGTGAATCGCTTACTTGAAACTCTGCCTCTTTCTGCTCCAGGAGCAGTCCAGGAAGGTGTGCGATACATTTCTATCTGTCCAGAGAAATAAAGATCAAACAAGAGAATTTCCAGGGGAAAACAGATGAATGGGGCCCCCTTAATTTAACTGAGAGTGACCTAACAGTAAAGCATTTTTTGAGTAGACCTATCAGCTATGGAACAAACATTCATCTTTGGTCCAAAATAGACAAAAAATGTTGACCTTGAGGGTGACTGATGAGGTAATGGCCTGATGGGAGTGATTGTTTATGGAGATTGAGCGGGGAAAGTTTTTCCTACTGGATGGTGGTAGAGGTAGAATTTTGCTTCTGTTTGTAGTTGGGGATAGGTTGCTGCTGGGTTTGTTTTTGCTGTGCAGTTATTTTTAACTAGTAGTAGATAGGCAATATCTTCATATAATTCACAATAAGAAAACATAAACAGATGCCACAGTGATAGCATATTTAGGCAGTTATATTATGGGTCTGCATCATGGTATCTGATCCCCGTAGAACAGGGGTTTTCAAACTCTGGATCATGGCTTTTAAGAGCAAATGGTTAGCTGGCCATGAGACACTTTGCTTACCTGCACTTCTACAGGCACAGGCAATCACAGGTCCCATTAGCCGCGGATTGCTATTCCTGCCCAATGGGAACTGTGGGAAGCAGTGCGGACCGGAACACCACTTCCTGCAGCTTCCATTGGCTGGGAATGGTGAGTCACACACAATGGGAGCTGTGACCACCTGTAGCTGTGGGGGCACAGGTAAACAAAGTGTCTTGTGGCCATCTAGTGTCTTGCCTTTACAAGCCTCGACCGAGAGTAAAAAACCCTGCCTTAGAGAATGACATGAACCACCCATGTAATCTTATCTTCTTCATGTTAATTGATGTCTCCCTGCTGTCTCTGAAAGGAGAAGTCATTTTAATCTCTTGTGGAAGGGAATTGCAAAGCCAAGCAACTAAGGAAGTGCTGCTTCCTGGTCTCCGAGTCTCACTCTTGCAGCCAAAAGGTGCTTAGATAGGCACTTAGATAACCAGATAGGCAGTGTCACTGTTTGTGTGGCATGCATAAGTCATGAGTTCCTGGTTGTGGCAAGAGAGACAGGCCCCGACATTACCTGGGCCCAAGCTAGGGAGAATTTTGCATTTTAACTGTCGTTCAGCAGAGAGCCAGGGAAGAGAGAGGAGACCTCACGCTGGGAACTGACAATAAGGGTTAGACACAGAGGTGGATTAAGCTTTTGTGGGACCCTGAGCCAGAGCAAGTGGGGGGCCCCACTCTGCTCCTTCCATCTGCAGGCCTTCTGCCACTCCTCCAGTATTCCTGCCGGGGAATGGGGTTGGAGTGCAGTGGAGTCCTTTACTCCCTGGCAGGAACACTGGATAGACAGGGTGTGGCAAGTCCCTGCATCCCATCCTTGATCCCCAAGAGGAGTGCTGGGTGTGCAGCAAGAGTGGGAGTACAGGGGCACCCATTTTTTCTGGGGCCCCAGGCACAGGTCTCATTAGCCCAGTGACTAATCTGCCACTTGTTAGACACCTCCAATCAAAGAACTCAAAACCCTGTGACCTTTGAGACTAATCACAACTGGTAAAAACCATTTGAATTATGAATAGCAAATATTCCCAACAATCTGCCTATGAATTATCTACAGACCAAGAGTCCCTGACTGAAACCATCTGATGAATAATTTCAAACAGCAAGGTAATGGAAGAAAATTGCAATCTGTGTGACAGATTGAAAATGGAAAAAATCAGGAGGGGTATTGAGTGAATTGTTTGCTATGAATTATTCTCTCAGCTCCAGCCCGTCTTGGCTCATGTGTATACAATCTGTAGATGTCACGTATGGTCAAAGTCATCTGAAATTCAGAATTAGACTGGCTTTTATGATAGAAAGAATAGAGCAATGGGCAAAGGATTCTTCCGTTTTTTATTGATGTTTAGTGTTAACAAAGCTGTTGTTTTTTTTAGGTACATGATGGGATCTCTCTCTATGGATATATTCTGAAAATACAGAGTTAGAAAAAATGACCTTTCAAATAAAATTTAGCATGGGTTAAAGTCCTATATTTCTGTGGTATTCTCTCTCTCTCTCTCTCTCTCACTCAGACACACAAACAGACACGCCCAGAGTTTTCAGTGTCCCAGTGTAACATTTCTTGGTTGCATAAAAGCTTGTATAATACTAGTAGCCTGGTGACAGCACAAAATAGATTTCATTTGGTTAATTTTTGTGATAGCTAGTCAGGACAGATACAGTACAAGAGCAATAGAAGATGACAGACAGTTATCTGGCTTCTGCACGCAAACTGGCTTAGGTGGTTCAATGAAGATAAATCTAAACCAACTGAGAAAGTATGCACAAATAAATGTCAACTCTCACCATGTTTTCACGGAAATATGCTTATCATTTTTTCCCACTCTGTTCCTGCAGACCTTTTCTCACATGACATAATTTCTAAAAAATATGACCGTATTTCCCCTCTCCCCCAAGCTATCCCTACTTTTAGCTTCCATGTGTTGACAGGCTCTATATATACAAGCAGCTCTCAGTTTTATAACATTGATGCTGTTTCCAGCTGTGACCATCTCAAGCAAATACAGCAAGATGTTAGATAATCAGCCACTAGATAGTACTATGCAGCTCAGAATATAAACAGAAGCATTATAGATGGACTTGATATACTACGTATGAACAATCACCATCAAAGTTTATATGACATAAGTATTGAGAATGCTGATTTTTCCATGTCCGTTTCAGCACCCCCTTTTAAAAACATGTTTAGTAGACGATTTTCTGACTGGGAACTTGATCCTGCACCTGCACAGTTTGGGCGAAGAGTGTTATATGAATAAGTGCAAGTTAGCAAATGAAGAGCCACTCAGGACACTAATGCTACTACACAGCTATGCAATTATTATTCCTGAGTCCTATTTGGTAGCTGCAGTAAGGCTGAGAAGAGGAGTGCGCAGTTGCACAAACCCTTGGCTTGCCTGACCCTTCCTCCTAAAAGAAAAACAAGGACAAGATTCATCATCTCAGTCACCACACATCTGGAACCTTGACCTTACTTGCAATTGCTCAACTCAGAAAAGACTCTTGTGCTCTGTTTCTCTCCCCCAATGATAGACATGTTGATCTTCCCTTTCCCAGCTTGCTCCTCCTCCCAACTGACTTGAGTTTCAGTTTCTCATAAATTCACTGCTGAGTCATCCTCCCTCCTGTAACTTCAAAGCTCATGCTAATTTGCCTTTTGTAACAGAGAAGTGCTGATTCCTTATCATAGCTGAGACTGGCATGATCATCAATCTAATTGTATAAGCTGTGAAATGGAGTGGCTATTCTAATTGCAGCTTTCCATCACTACATGATGCGGTACAGCTGGGACACACAGACATGCTAGTAAGAGTTTTTGGACTTTTCTGTATCTGGATATGTACCAAAATAGCTTTTCCAGAATAGCTATTTATGTAATCGTTCAGTGTAAGTCTCTGTGTGGATATTCTCATTTCAGAAAATACATTTGGTTTTTAAAATGAATTTTATCTTAATGATTTATGATGTTTGTTTACATTCTTCCTATCCCTCAGCTTAATCAGGGAAAATAGACTAGCCCGTTTTTTATTACTTAATTTTGATCCATTTAACTTGATGAAACAGAAGGTCATTCCTCCTATGGGTCTCCCAGTGAATTTTGTCTTCTGAGAATTTTATTTTGTACCTACTATGGATCTGAGCACCTTATCATATAATAATCTTGAAGTAATGTTAGTTGCAGACAAACTAGATATGGAATATAGGCACTTTGCTAATTCAGATCTAACCTGAACCAAAACAATAAAGGTAGATTTAGATGCAAGGATTCAAATCCTAACTCTCATGGGATTGAAAGGCTTTCGGGTTTGATATTCTGGATCAATCCTGCTGTATTTAGGGTTGCCAGATGATTTAACCAAAAATACCGAACACTTTCCCCCTCCCCCCACCAGGGAAATAATTCTGTTGAGGAAAAAAAAAGGGGGGAGACCAAAATTGTTGAGCAAAAAAAAAAAAAAAGATAAAACAGCATGGCCCCTTTAAGAAAAGTCTTTAGGTTTTTCACTGGCGGCCATCTTGTTTTCTTGATCGGAGCCAGAAGGCAGCTTCCCTGTGGAACCAGGTAAGTGGGGGTGGGAGGGCGAGGGCCCTGGAAGTGGGGGCCAGGGGCCCGAGGGAGGTGCGGGGGCTGGGCCCGGTTTCTGAGTGTGTATAGGGTTGCCAAGTGTATGGAGGGTTGCCAGGTGTCTAGTATTTTCACCTCCTCTCCTGACAGGGAAAAAAAAATCAGAAAATACCAGACATTTTAGGTGTCTGATATTTTCTGAATTTTTTTACTGGACAGGAGGCAAAAATACCGAATACCGGGTCAATACTGGACACCTGGCAACACTAGCTGTATTTTCCTCTTTTGCCTGTTTGCAAAGAAAAGTTTGTGCAATCATCAATTCTGCTTGTCCTGAACTTTAAAAACATACTAACTATGCATTTTTATGCATAAACCGTATTAAGATAACAGAGGAAGATGCTGAAGACAAGCTCTGGGAGACAGATACATGGTGACCAGAAAAGCTGCAAGGATTTAATAGCAAAATGTATTTGCTCTGTATTTGTTCCATGTTTACAAGGCCTCCATTTCCCACACTAAAGCTTTATGCGGTAGCAGATAAAGTGATGTTTGGATCCTTTGACTAGAAAAATAAAAAATGAGGCATTGCACAGGCATCAGAACTAGATCTGAATGTGGGTCAGTGTGATCAAAAAGTCTGGCAGCACAATAATATATGGGTTGGAGTCAGTGAAAGCCTTGTTGGTTAGCATAAAAAGCTACATGTGCTTTCCTGCCTTGGTGTAAAATGTAAAAACTCAAGTAGATGCCAAAATGCTCCATATCTGATTCCCACAGGACTGGGGAAGAGCTTGCAGAGATAGGCCGGCAACTTTTAAGGCAGTAAATTATTTATTAACTAATACTGCATAGATATTATATCACTCCTCTAATTATTGGCAGCTTTCTTGAGATGAGATCCAGTCTCTGTTGAAATGCAAAGAGAATATGACCCCCTTATCACATGAAGCATGAATCTAAGGTCTGGTTTACACTAAAAAGTTAGGTTGACCAGCTACACCACTCAGGGGTTTGAAAAATTCAAGTCACTGAGCAATGTGGAACCTGGTAAAGACAGTGCTCGGTGGATGGAAGTATTCTTCTGTAAACTAAACTGCTGCCTCCCAGTGAGGTGCATTACTACACAATGGGAGAACCCCTCCTGTTGTAGATGTTCCATTGTTAGCAGCAGCTGGGTTTCAGAGATGGGCTTTGATAGCAGCTGTCTACCAATAACACAATCATTACAGACCCGTGGTATCCAACACGCTAGCCACTAGCCACACGTGGCTATTTGGCTGGTTGAGTGTGGCTAGTTCGCTGTATCTTCAGAACTGGTTGGACACCATGGTTATAGACCATTAGAAAGACATGCTAATAGAGATGTTCTGTCCATTAGCTAATTTGTTCTGATTTGCTCTTTTACACAATAATTTTTGCTTAATCTTTGGTGATCAGAAGTGGTTTACGGGACATAAACTCTTCTGTGAAAACAATTGAAATGCTTCACCATATGTTTGCTGCCTATGATTCACCTGAAGGATCCAGTTCAGATAGGAGTCAGAAATAAACTGAACCAAAAAGAATCAATATGTCAATTGTAAAAATTACTACTCACTTATTCTTCAAGAAAGATGTGGAAAAATTGGAGAAGGTCCAGAGAAGAAAACAAAAATGATTAAAGATCTAGAAAACATGACCTATGAGAGAAGACTGAAAGAACTGGGCTTGTTTAGTTTAGAAAAGAGAAGACTGAGAGAGGATATGATAGCAGTTTTCAAGTATTTAAAAGGGTGCTATAAGGAGAAGGGAGAAAAATTGTTCTCCTTGGCCTCCGATGATAGGACAAGAAGCAATTTCAGCAAGGGAGGTTTAGGTTGGAAAGAAAGAAAAACGTCATAACTGTCAGGGTGGTTAAATACTGGAATAAATTGCCTAGGGAGGTTGTGGAAACTCCATCAATGGAGATATTTAAGAGCAAGTTGGATAGACATCTATCCAGGATGGTCTAGATCAGGGGTTGGCAACATATGGCTCAGAAGCCAAATACGGCTCACTAGAAAGCCAGATATGGCTCTTCTGGAGCCCCAACTCAGCCCTCCCTCTGCCCCCCAGCAGGGAGCCAGTGCTGGTGCTATAGCCTTACATTGTCCCCCCCAAGATTGGAACACCAGCGCTGGTTTCCGGCGCGGGGAAGCCCTGAGCCTCTGTGCCGGATCTGGCATGCAGGAAACAAAATGGCTCCATGCACCGCCCTTTCCCTTCCCAATACTGTACGTGCAGGAAACCAAGAACCAAAAATGGCTCCATGTACTGCCATTTTCTTTCCCCTGGAAACATTTCCTGCAGGTTTCCCCTGCAAATGCTTCCTAGCTCATGGGATCAGCGAGAGGTATGTTACATGCAGCATAAAAGCAAGTAAGTATCCCTTCAATCCTCATGCCGAGACTCCACACCTTTCCCACTCATACCCCCGTGGCAGGGGATTGGACTTGATGACCTCATGAGATCCCTTCCAGTTCTAGTGTTCTATGATTTTATGAAAGCTTAGTGGACTACAGAGAGGCACTCAGGAGAGGTTCATGACAGTATGGGGCTGAGGAGATTGGGACTGTAGTTGATGGGGAGGAAGCAATATTATTCCCCACTATGATGTCTGTGTGCTGACAGTTATTCTGGAGGACTCTGTATATCCACTCCTACCATGGCTAAAGAAATCTTATCCTGACATCAAGAACCCAACAAATGGGAATTAAACTCCAAACTAAGCAACTGGATGATGGTAGTAGAGTGTGCCTGTGGACAACTGGAGACTCATAGGTGAGGCACACACACCCAGTTGGATGCCAATGAGACCAATGCCATGCACATTATTATGCTGTGCCCTTCATAACACTTGTGAGATAGAAGGCGAGTATTTCAGGACAGATTGGGCAGAGGATAGATCTGGCTTGCAAACCCCTTTACAGACAGTCTGATTCAGTGAATATTTGTACTGGTGCTGGAGTATAGCAGGCCAGGGAAATCAAAGATGCAATTTGTGCCTATGTTTTGGAACAGGGAGCAGGCAGGGGCTGACCTCAGTCTAGTCCCAAACAAAGCACAACAGATGCCACGAAGGTCATAAAAAAACAAGTGGGACCCTCCCCATGCACTTGTATTAGAACACACAGTTCTGTTCCCCTCCTGACTATGGTTATTAGCTGGCCATTTAAGTAATGACCCATTAAGGATAATTAGAGCAGGCCACCTCTACAAGTATGACACCCTCTGGTTTGTGATGGTTTTGCACAGGATGTCTGCTCAGTTGAAATGCGCCTATTGTTCTTTTGTCTAGTGTTAATCTTCGCAGCTGTTAGCTAGGCCACAGTTTAAAGGGGAATTGAAGGACCTTGAGAATAATGGTTGAAGGGGATAGGAGAGGTTTTTATAACTGATTTCTGGTGACCATGTTTGTGTGTATGGGGATCAGGGCACTTACCACCTGTTAACATGAATAACTTTATAGTTCCAAGCAGTGGTGGTTCTATGAATATGGGGATCTGTGGATATAGGGTGGAGCCCTCCACAGTTAATAAAGTTATCTGTTTCTGTACACATTGCACTTTCAGCATGTCTCTGTCATATTTATATTCATACATATCTCGACAGAAGACTGGGAGTGGTGGGCTGTGCAATTCTCTGCCGTGGAGTGTTACACGACTCAAGGCAATGATTGGTACAGCCCAAAAAACAAAGGGAAAAGAAATGGACCTTGCCAAATGAGACTACCCTTGAAACTACGACATGTAGTAACTCTTGATGTTTTCTTAAAAAAAAACCCCAAATACCGTGAATGAAACCAGAACGGATCAGACACCAAAAAGAAAATTAAAACTTTACTGCCTTCGACCCCACCTCCTTAGCCTTGATCATCTCCTCCCCTAGACCAGGGGGAAATGACTGCAGAAAACATTCTTTGGGACAAATGGGGAGGCCTGCTGCATGGAATTTGGGGCCAGACACATGCTGGCTTCAGGCAGTTTGGGGTTCATGATTCCCCCCCTGCAGACTTACAGGACTCTTCCCACTTGGGGTTTTGGGTCCCAGTGCAGGGTGTTGTGCCTGGAGCACTGGAGCTGCTCTCCCATTTCAGGAGGAGGAGGTTGGGTCCTCCACCTCAGAATCATGTTGGGCTGCAGATGCAGGAGGAAGTAGCTAGAGGTGCCAGTTCCTGGATATTGGCAATGGTTGTTGCAGCAGATGGGTCCCAAATCTGTCGTACTACTACTTGTAACAGGGATTATAACGCGGCATTCTCCCTATTGACAAGCTCCTGATCACCTAACCATACATTCTGCTCCAGAAGCCAGATCATTCATGTCTTCTCCTTCAGAAAAAAACATTCCTCCTACCACACAGCTCATTCTTCCCACTTGATAGCCTGTTCCCTCATACTTCTCCTAGATTCTTCTATTGATCCCAATATGCAGATCCACTGGTGTCATCCTCTCTCTTCTCCTGCTCTCCTTGGCTGCCACTCCTGCCAATTCAGTCACAAGAGAAGCCTTGTATTTTATCTTTTCTTGGAAACGGGGTAAGAAATCTGCCCTATCATAGCCTAACTTTGCTGTTGGAGGCCACAATATTGATACGTCTCAGCATTTCAAGAATGTTTCATTGCTTCTTTATCCTTGATCCTTGGACAACTTTTGCTACCCCGAGAAAGAAGAACTTCTGAAAATGGTAGGTAGCATGAAGTAATATTTGAGATTTTTTTTTAAAAAATATGACCCTTAAAGTGTGTGATTGGAGTGGGGTGCACTTATTTCAGGTATAAGATTGAGGATTCTCAGTGTGGTCTTTCAAGGCTGGCCATCAGTGGGAGAACATCACAGTTTTGAAAGTTCCAGTTGGAACAGGGAAGTGGAATTCCAGTCCTGTGATGTGGATCTAACAATCTATGCCAGAGGGATGTTTGTGCTACTTGCCACTCTTTCATATATCACTGAATGGAAGGATTTGCTGACCTATGACCAAGTACATTTGTGCTGCTGTTGAACATTAAGAACCAACTGACATTTGTGCTGCATCAAAAAATTTCTGACACATGCTTATCGGACTGGCAGGCAATTTGAATAGTATCAGCCTATATTATGAATCAGCAGACAGAGCCTGCATGAAGCAGGAAAAGCTAACCATTTCAATTGCCCACCCAACCCTAAACCAGCTCCTGCAGTGTCAGGCTATCTGGCCCCTTCATCCAGTGAAAAGCAGAGAAAGGAGCAGGAAAAGAAAGTCACATGACAACTGTACTTTGTTCTATGAATTCTTTGATCAAGACCACAAGATCCTCACTTATCTACTGCCAAGGGACACAGCATTGTGTTTGTGCAGCCACTGGAGTGGATCCACCCACCCCATTGCCCCCAGATTGCGTGGAATGGCTCTGAGCAGGGAGACTCCGGACACCAGGGCACAAGAATGCTTGAAAATACTTGTGCTGTGACTGTGTCACATTCCTTGAAGAAGCAAAGGTTCCTTTTCTCCTTCCTGTATGTAACCAACCCTGATATTAAACTGAACTTACCCTTCTGCATGATTCCCGCGTGGAGCAGTGAGGGGGAGTGAGGGGAGAGTCATTGTGAAAGTCTGTGAGTTTGAAAGAATTAGAAAACAGCTATAACTTTGGAGAACCATTAATCTTGTACAAATGTCCTGTTCCAAACCGGACCTTTTCTCCCCCTCTCTCTTTGTCAGCCCATTTGTTGGCCAACAAAAGCATAGACCCCGGGGCAATATGCTAGTTTGCTGATAAGTTGTATAGCTTCTGGAAAAGGTTTTACAGTTGGTTGTGGTAATTCAATAAAATGATGCAACTACAGTTATGTCTTGGTTTGGGACCACTGGGTGGGTGCTGGCCTGCCAGTCCTGCATGTGGTCCTGGACAGAGAAGGAGGGGATGTTGATGAGGAGTGTGGGAGCCTGCTGAGTCTTGGGGTCCTTCTCTGGCTCGTGATGAGGTCTACCAGGCATTTGCTGCCACCTGCAAGAAGTCCCATCACTTTGGCACCTCCCAATTGAAGCAGGCATTATTGTTGGAAGGTGTAGCCAATGATTTGAGTGTGATGTTATTACATAACATGTCATGTCATATGTAATTATTGTCTGTTAAATAGAGTTAAGTTGTAGGATTATTGAAGTGCAAGAGTGATCTGTATTTAGGAGGAGTAATTATGCAGCAAATATCTAAGTAAGGATGGCTGAGGCCTGCATGGTTTTAGCTTAGCTATTTTAGTCCTTGAGATAAGAAATGCTAATATAAGCAAGTAACCAAAGAATAAGATTATGTGAAAAGAGATACCAAGGGGTATTATTGATAAAAAATTATGCAGAAGATTTACTTTTAAATCGCAAAAAATGCTTTAGGGGCACATCTATCTCTAACATATGTCTTAACCATGGGATACAGATTGTGTATCAATGCTAGTGAGAACAACAGGACACTAGACACAACCTATAGTAATTGTGGTACGTCAGGTTTCTAGGGGACATCAGACAATAAGGAAAAAGAGGGTTGACACGTTCATGTAAATGTGCAGAATGTAGGTGTGGGCAGAAACACTTTATGAGGCCCACCAATGGGGGATGGGTGGGCAAAGGGGCAACTGCCCAAGATCCTGGTGATTCAAAAGGGCCCCGGGCTCCCAGCTGCTACTGCTAAATCATACCAGCTGGCATGCTCCAGGCAGTGCCGAGGGCTGGCTGGGGGAAGCTAGCCCCAACCCTGCCCCTTCCACTTTGACGTGTGGAACTGTGCTCCCATATCTTGCCCACTGTCGGCCCCACTGCACATTATAAAGTGGGGGTGCCCTCAGTAGGGAAAATTGAGCTTCCTACCAGAAAACTCCAACAGAAACCATTCCTCTGCTGATCAATTCACTTGGCCCTAACAATATCTAAGAGGATGTGGGTGTGTCTGTAGCTAAAATTGGTTCATGGATATATGTAGGATTTGTATATGCTGTGACAGCCATAACTTTGTTGGTAACTTACTTTAATAAAATCGAGAAAAGATAGAAGACTTTGTTCTTGGCGATCATCTGTGTTATGTGTCCATGGCTTCATGTGTTCCTATGAGCTCTAAAACAAGCAGAGGTAACTATTGAACTTGAGATGGTAGCTTCCAGATCTGACCCACTGGATGCTGTAATACAACTCGGTTTACTTTAAATAAACATAAAAAGCTACAAAGGGAAGAGCAGCAAGGTGAGCAAGGGATGCCAAGAGAGGCCTCTCATAATCAGCTGCAGCCATAACCAGTGAGAGCTGATCCGCTAGCACCTAGAAAGACCAGCAGCAGGCAAAGGCCAATCAGAGTCCAACAGGCCAGATAAAAAGGCTGCCTTGATAAGGGTCGAATCTGGATGAAACCAGGCTTGAAAAGGCAGGCTCTCCCTGCTCTAACACAAGTAACTCTTGCCTGGCTTTCAGCCTGTATGAGGGACGTGTGCTTATATTATGGACTTCAAAGGCTGGTGGCTAGTTTGAGTTGATATTTACTTTGTTTTCTGCTAACCGTAGAAGGGGTGTAGACTGAGAGCTAATCCAGCTGGAAGGCTAAGCCACTGAGGGCGGCAGGCCATTGCAGAACCAGACCCAAGGGAGCCCTGAAGCTCCTCATCCTATCACAAGGAGGGCTCTTTGCTGGTAAGTGCATGCTCTAACCACACTATACATATAATTGGGACTAGTAATCACATAAAGAATTGGCTGCACTTGCTAGATCCACAGGATTAACCAGTCTGACTGCAGAAAATCTTCCATAACTTTTTGGGATTTAAACTAAGTTTATTTCAAACTCCCCTCTGCACTAGCAACGTAGGGTTTTGTGAGCATGTGGGGGATGTGAACTGGTAAAACCAATTCACTTCTGAGTTATGAATTGACAAAACCCCCTTTTTACTAGTCAGAAACTTCTTGTGCCCTTCAAAAACAGTGTGATTGCTTCTGACACACTCACACTTCTCTTCTAGCCTGAGGTTGAACAGGTGGGGTTTTTATACCACAGGATTGTCTTCTGCTGTTGTTAGAGGGGGACAGTTGTGTGGGTAAAGCACCAATATAGGACTTAGGATTCTTGGTCCAGTTCTTCTTCTTGTCACAGGATCCATGTGTGGCCTTTGGCAAGCCACTTGAAGCCAAGCTTCTCAAAGATATTTTGGCACCTAATTCCCACAGACTGCAGCTGACTTGCAGTCAGTGCGAGATGGGTGCCTAAACCCTTTGAGGGTTGGGCCTGTTGTATTAATTGGACCTATAAGTTTATCCTCATTGTGAGCTGAACTGTAAGAAGTGAGTGACATGTGCATGGATGTCTCAATAGCCTAGCACAACAAATGTTGATACAAGCATTACAAAAGTGAGGCAGACTGAATAAAGTACAGGCAAAGAGCCCTACTGATATAACTCAAGCACTGCATTAAGGATGTGATATGCAGACAAAAGGAGTGGAGGACCAGAAAGCAATGAACCAAAACTGGGGTGTGAGAAGTTAAGAATAACTGGTGGGCAAAACAATGAAGGGCTGGGCTTTCCCACATTTTACTCCTTTGGGGGATCCTCAAAGAAAGGGACTGTATGAGAACAACTGGCTGCTGGAGTGAGCTTCACCGCAGTCTCCTTAGACTCTAGGCCTTCATTGTCTTGATCATGAGAGATGTCATGACTGAACCAGTCCAGACCATCACTAGCTCCATCAGCTCTGGTGAATCCCAAACACCACCTCAGATGTGAGATTTTCTCTCTTCCACCCTCTCCTTAAAATGTGTCCTTCTCCCTGCTTATCTTAACTTGTCTCTTCCATATCTCTGTCATTTTTTTTCTGTTTATTAAACACTGATTTAGTTGTCCAAGACTGCATATATTGCAATACTGCTAAAAGCCTGTGACCTGCAAGGCTATGTCTGTACTGTAGCCTTCTTGCGGAAAAGCATATGCAAATGAAAATCATATAAAAAAATGAGGAAGAATGGCTCTCGTGTAAGAGGTGGTTTTTGCGCAAAAAGGAGCCATCTACACTGCTTGTTTTTGCGCAAAGGCCTCTGGCGCAAAAACAGCTGTTCATTACTTATGCAAATAAAGCATGGCTATATTCCATACCACGCTACATTTGCGTTTGCTTTTCTGCAAGAAGGCTACAATATAGATGTAGCCCAAGAAATAGCTAAAAGCAATGCCCTAAATATAGACTCATAGAAACACAGAATACTAGAACTAGAAGGGATCTTGAGAGGTCATCAAGTGCAGTCCCCTGCCCTCACGGCAGGACCAAGTACCATCTAGATCATTCCTGATAGATGTCTATCCAACCTGCTCTTAAATATCTCCAGTGGTGGAGATGCCACAACCTTCCTAGGCAATTTATTCCAGTGTTTAACTCATAACACTTCTGTGACCGTGTCCGGGTCCGGGGCCCCAGCCCCGTCCCCTTGGGGTGATCCCTCTTCTGGCCCAACTGGGTCCCACCCCCACCTCCAGGTGCAACTCATGTATGGTGCACGACGCTAGACGCGTTCTAAGCTCAGGCAGAAGCGCCCGATGCTCTCTGGGTTGGAGAGGGAGAGGGGGGCCCGGGCCTGCCCTCACTCACGGGCCCCAGCCCAGGGCTCTAAGGACTTGGATCCTCCGCGATCTGGCCCGGCTGACGGGGCGCCTAGCTGAAATGCGGCAGCCCACCAACCACTCCTGGTTGTGCCCTGGGCTGCTTCCTCTCCCCCTTTCACTCCTTCTATACTGCTGAACAGGGCAGGGACCACAGGGGCCCTCGTCTCCCCTCTTACCCACCCGACCTGGGGTCTTGAGGCTCACCTCCCCGGAGAAACTAAATGAATTCTTTGCTTCAGTCTTCACAGCTGAGGATTTTAGGGAGATTCCCAAACCTGACCCGTCCTTTGTAGGAGAACTTGTCACAGATTGAAGTGTCATTAGAGGAGGTTTTGGAATTAATTGATAAACTTAACAGTAAGAAGTCACCGGGACCAGATGGCATTCACTCAAGAGTTCTGAAAGAAATTGCGGATCTATTAACTATGGTTTGTAACCTATCCTTTAAATAAGCTTCTGTACCCAATGACTGGAAGATAGCTAATGTAATGCCAATATTTAAAAAGGGCTCTAGAGGCGATCCCGGAAATTACAGACTGGTAAGTCTAACATCAGTACTGGGCGAATTAGTTGAAACAATAGTAAAGAATAAAATTGTCAGACACATAGAAGAACATAATTTGTTGGGCAAAAGTCAACATGGCTTCTGTAAAGGGAAATCGTGTCTTGCTAATCTACTAGAGTTCTATGAGGGGATACATAAACATGTGGACAAGGGGGATCCAGTAGATATAATATAGTTAGATTTCTAGAAAGCCTTTGACAAGGTCCCTCACTAAAGGCTCTCATCATGGGATGATAGGGAAAGTCCTTTAATACATTAGTAACTCGTTAAAAAAACAGGAAACAAAGGGTAGGAATAAATGGTTAGTTTTCAGAATGGAGAGAGGTAACTATTGGTGTCCCTCAAGGGTCTATACTAGGACCAATCCTATTTAACCTATTTAAAAATGATCTGGAGAAAGGGGTAAACAGTGAGTTGGCAAAATTTGCAGACGATACTAAACTGTTCAAGATAGTTAAGACCAAAGCAGACTGGGAAGAACGTCAAAAATAACTCACCAAACTAAGTGATTGGGCAACAAAATGGCAAATGAAATGTAATGTTGATAAATGCAAAGTATTGTGCATTGGAAAAAATAATCCCAACTATACATACAATATGATGGGGACTAATTTAGCTGTAACTGCTCAAGAGAAAGATCTTGGAATCATTGTGGATAGCTCTTTGAAAATATTCAATGTGCAGCAGTGGTCAAAAAGGCATACAGAATGTTAGGAATCATTAAAAAAGGGATAGAGAATAAGACAGAAAACATCTTATTGCCTCTATATAAACCATGGTATACCCACATCTTGAATACTGTGTAAAGATGTAGTTGCCTAATCTCAAAAAAGATATATTGGCATTGGAAAATGTTCAGAAAAGAGTAACAAAAATGAGTAGGGGTTTTGGAACGGGTACCATATGAAGAGAGATTAAAAAGTCTGGGACTTTTCAGCTTAGAAAAGAGAAGATGAAGGGGGGTATGATAGAAATCTATAAAATCATGACGGGTGTGGAAAAAGTGGATAAGGAGGTTATTTACTTGTTCCTATAACCTAAGAACTAGGGGTCACCAAATTAAATTAATAGATAGCAGGTTTAAAACAAACACAGGAAGTTTTTCTTCACACAGTTGGCCTATGGAACTCCTTGCCAGAGGAGGTTGTGAAGACCAGGACTTTAACAGGGTTCAAGATAGAACTAGATAAATTCATGGAGGTTAGGTCCATGAATGGCTATTACCCAAGTATGGGTAGGAATCAAGGCCGGCTCTAGGCACCAGCAAAACAAGCGGGTGCTTGGGGCAGCACATTACCAGGGGTGGCATTCCGGCCTGAGGAGGAGCAGGAGGCGAGCACCGTGGAGGCCACCCCGAGCTGGGAGCCCCATGGGTGCTGGTGCTAGAGCAGAGTTCAGGGGCTCGGTGGGTGCTGGGGCTCCGCTGTGCTGGGGTCCCATCCCCTGAGTGGGGAGCCCCATGGAGGCTGCCCTGAGCTGGGAGCCCTGCGCCCAGCTGCTCGGAGCCTGCGCCTGTCCTGGGGGAGGGGAGGGCAGGGCAGGGTGCTGGGAGGGCGGGGCACCTGGCCCCAGCACAGGGAGGTTGCAGCTGGTGATGCTGAGCTTGGTAGGGCAGGCCATGTCCATGGTGGTTGCTCCTGGCAGCCAACTCACTAGTCTGGAGTGGAGTTCAAGGGCTTGGCGGGCACTGGGGCTCAGCCACGACGGGGCCCCATCTCCTGAGTGGGGAGTCCTATGGAGGCTGCCCTGAGCTAGGAGCCCTGAGCCTTGCTGCTCGGAGCCTGCACCTGGCCCCAGGGCACTGGGAGCTCTGCATGGGCAGCCCCGTGGTGCTGCCCTTTCTGCGGTGCTTCCTGGAGGGCGCATGGGATGGCCACAGCTGGAAAGACTGAGCCCGGCGGCCTCTTCTTTGCCTTCGTGAGTGCGGCCCCACCTCTCATGCACCCTCCCCAC